ATATATATATATAATGAGTTCAGTTATCTATAACCCCAGTGTTTGAAGGTTTCATGTAATTCATCAGAAAGTTTAAATGCATCAACTTGTTTTGTCTTTTCAGGAGGGAGTGAAGACTGAGAACAATGAGCACATCAACCTGAAGGTGGCAGGGCAGGATGGCTCAGTGGTGCAGTTCAAGATCAAAAGGCACACTCCTCTCAGCAAACTGATGAAAGCTTATTGTGAACGACAGGTGAGTTTGTCACTTGACAGAGTAGGAGACCAGTTTTGGTTTCTTGGAGCTAATGAGAAAAAGATTAGATTTTTGTCATGCGGCTCTGTCAGCAAGTGCAAATTTCTTCTCTGCTCCTGGAGTATGAATCCAGCTTTAAATGCACCAGTTCAAAATGTTAGTGTGGTACAATGATATTAATACATGTTTATTCATTTAAAACTTTGCAAAACTCTTTTAGCATTTGTTTTGATTTTTAAATGTGTTGTTTTTGTCATTGCGATTGCAATAACAGTTCAGTCTTTTCAGAACAAATTAGATAACAGTATTATTAAATAGTAGCTGCAACATTAATTTATGATCAATTTCCTAAAAAAATAGGTTGTTAAAATAATTTTTGCATTTTTCATAATTTTCCTCTGTCCTCTTCCTCAGGGACTGTCGATGAGGCAAATAAGATTTCGATTTGATGGACAACCTATCAACGAAACAGACACCCCGTCACAGGTAAGTGAATGATTGACCAGTCATAAGGCCTACAAATTAAAGGAGAATCATTTATAGATGCATTTAAGATGATGTTTTGTGTTCACATGTCAAATTGTCTTGTTGTCTGAATCATGTAACAAGCTCATTCAGCTTCTCAGAGAATCACTTGATCTGTTTGTTTCCCCTTTTATGATAAGCTTCCTTTTTTAATTTTCTATGATAAAATCAGCATTATTATTTTGTGCTCAGCAATAGGCTGTACTAATCGTCAAGGGAAAACCCAAGCCACGAGGGTCGGCCCACTGCATGATTCAGGCTCTAGTTTTGACCCTGCCTATGTCCTAAAGTGCAAGGCCTTTAAAGGGTCCTGCTCTGAGAGCTTGAGGGTTTGACAACAACCTTGTGGATGTTTGTGTGAGGCTCCCAATGTCATTAAGCTAAATAATGCCATTTATTTTGGTGAAATAAACATTCCTGACTGCACAAGTGCTCTAGAAGTCTAGAAACTGCCTTTTAAACCTTACTGAAACATTGCAAGAAAGGAAAGGTCAGTGAGTCGATGATTGGCTAAAATTTAACTAAGCAACAAGTTGACTTGAAGTATGCACATTCACAATTTTTTTAAGTGTTTAATACACCAGAGTTTTAGAAATGTTACTAAATGCTTATGCTCACAGTTTTTTATCAACCTACTAACGCTGACTTTTTCTTTTCTTACAGTTAGAAATGGAGGACGAAGATACAATCGATGTGTTCCAACAACAAACTGGAGGAGCTTCTCTTTAAAGACTGTTTCCTATGAACATCCCTACCTCTCTTTTCGTCCCTGAACATCTTTGTAAACCCAGTCTTCAAATGCTCACARCCAGTGTTTATACCATCCAGTGGATTACTAGTACAAAATGACAAAATGCTGAAAGGCAGCAGTTCAGTTGTAGGCTTTTAGCACACTGACATTCATATGGTAAAATGTCTAAACTGTGCAGTGTAGATAATTTTTAAGCTGCAGTGAGTTTTTTTTTGCTGAAGATATTGAACATTTAGGTTTCTTTTTTTTTTCTGAGGGTTAGAAAAAAAATKCAATTCTTGGTTTTATACTTTGTCCGGTTCTGATTTGGTTAGTATTTTGTCATTAAGCCCGTGTTTTAAATTTGCTGACATCYGTTGTTGTTGAAAATGTATTATTGGAATAAAATGACTTTAAAAATAAATAAATAAATAAAAGAACCAGTACATAAAATTGGGCGATCGCAAGGCCTCTCATAAAAACTGAATGTGAAGGCGTTTATCGTCATAAAGAATTCGTATGTATTTTCCAAGTTAAACTAAAAAAATAAGGCTACAGATGAAAATAAGAATCATTTGAGAGCCAGAAGAGAGCTGAACTTCCCATAACTGGTGAGGCACACCCTGGACAGGTCTCCAGTCGTTACGGAGACAGAAACACCCAGTCACTCTCTCACACCTGGGGGCAATTTTTATTTATTGATTTATTTGTTACCAATAAATATAACAGGCAAGTTTTGGTCTGTGGGAGAAAACCCAGGAAAAAAAATACATAAATGCCACACAGAAAAGCAAGAAGGAAGAACCTGCACCAACCACCACTGATGATTATGAAATTACAAAAAATATATATATTTTTTGAAAAGTTAATTTTCACTCAATTGCACTGTGACTACATGAACCTGTCAATTAATAAAACATGTTGAACAAACCGCAAAGCAGCTGGTAGAAAAACTCTTAAATCACCAGTTCATTCTTTAAACTTGCAGATTTAAGATGCCATAATCCTGACTTTTAAAACAGTAAAAGGGTTGAATGTGTCATGCTAAAACCAAGGGCGTAACTTTAGGTCTAACATTGGGGGGGTTATGCTCTCTGTCCTTTTATTTATTGAATAAATTACTTTTGTAAAACGATTCAGGATATTTTAGGGTAAAAATATATTGTAATGCATTTACTGAGATTTACTTAACTTTCCTGTTTTCTCTGTATTTATTCTGCTCCTTTTCTGTTCCACATCAGTTCAACAAGTAAGAAAAAAACTTACTATTTTTCTGCATTTTTTTCCAGCAATTACACACATTTTACATTTTTTAGATTTACTATATAAC